ATCCATTCCTCTCTATCTTTCTATCATCCATTCATTTAACCATCCATCCATGCAACTTCCATCTATTCCTCTACCTATTATCTATCTATCTATCTATCTATCTATCTATCTATCTATCTATCTATCTATCTATCTATCTATCTATCTATCTTCTATCTATCTATCTATCTATCTATCTATCTATCTATCTATCTATCTATCTATCTATCTATCTATCTATCTATCTATCTATCTAGCCTATCTATCTAATTTTATCTATCTAATTTTATATATATCCACTATGCATCCATTCCTCTTTCTATCATCCATTCATCTAACCATCCATCCATCCATGCAACTTCCATCTATTCCTCTATCTATCTATCTATCTATCTATCTATCTATCTATCTATCTATCTATCTATCTATCTATCTATCTATCTATCTATCTATCTATCTATCTATCTATCTATCTATCATCTCTCCTGTTATCTATCATCTATCTCTAGCTACTATTTATCTATTATCTATCATGTATCTACTATCTATCATTTCCTTCCTTCCTTCTTCCCTCCCTCCTTCCGTGGTTCTTATTTATGACGGTCAAAATATCCTGGGGGGTCACGTGATCCCCTTTTGTGACCTCCTGACAAGCCAAGTCAATGGGAATGCAGTATTGCAGGCTAACTCTGCCCACTGCCTGGAGTTTGATCCTGACCAGCTCAAGGTTGACTCGGCCTTCCGTCCTTCCGAGGTCGGTAAAAATGAGGACCCGGATTGTTGGGGGGCAAATAGGCTGACTCTGTAAACCGCTTAGAGAGAGCTGTCAAGCGCCGTGAAGCGGTATCTAAGTCTTAAGGGCTACGGCTATCCCCAGTGATCCCACACTTCTGCTGCCAAAGCATTTCCCGTGTCGAGATGCACCGGCTAGCGCCAGCCAACCGTGCTTTCGTTCCAGCAGCAGATCAAGACCAGATTAATTACACAACATTTAAGGCTTTACGGTAATGTAATTTACCTATACGTTACAGTGTCATTTGTTAACAGCAATGAGCAGAAACGGCAAGGGCACAAGGAAGGGACTTGCCCATTAAAAGTCTTTGGACTGGATCTTTTCGGTGCGCTCAGCCTGGCCCAAGACCCGATGCAGAGCTCAGGGCCAACTTTGGGGATGCTTGCGACAAACGAAGCGGGCAGCTGCTGCGATGGTGGGGTTGAAGCTTTACCTGCTCAGCCCAGCCTTAATCACGCGCCCTGCTAGAGAGACATCGAAAAACACGTGTGAAATTCACTTTGTGCCGTGTGGGTCCGGGAACCCTGTTCAAAGCACGGTTTTGCTTCACTTACAGGAAACCCTAATTAGGCCACGGCTTTAAGCCATAATATGCTTCCTTTCAAAGAGCGATACATGCTCTAGAAGCAGAAGCAAGTGTGCTTCCTTAATCTGGTTCAGACTTAAATATGTAGCGCAGGAATCCAATTAATGGGCTTAATCAAGTTAGTTACAAATCCAACGGCTGCCTTCGCAGGGCCTACTACAGGATTCGGGTTGTTTTTTTTTGCTTCGACTGGGGTCTGGGTGGGTCTGTTGCCGTGGTAGCTTAGCCCGTTTGGGCAAAGTCAAATCATTTGGTTAGGCTGCTGCGGTGTAGGAGGGGCTAGATGAGAAGCCAGGCGGTCATGAGTTCAAATCCTCCTTTTTGGTGTGAAAAGCTGCTGGGTGACTTTGGGCCAGTTCCTCTCTCTCACAGTGCAAGGAAAAAACTGCTAGTAAACTACTTCCAACGTTTTTTCCCAAGGAAACTGCGGGGTGGGATGGAGGGAGGGAAAGAAGGAGGGGATGGGAAGGGAGGGGAGAGGGAAAGATGGAGAAAGAAAGAAAGAAAGAAAGAAAGAAAGAAAGAAAGAAAGAAAGAAAGAA